TGTGTGTGTGTGTGTGTGTGTGTGTGTGTGTGTGTGTGTGTGTGTGTCTAACAGAGTCTCTCTTGTCACTCAGGCTGGAGTGCAATGGCGTGATATCGGCTCATTGCAACCTCTACCTCCCCGGTTCAAGCAATTCTCCTGCCTCAGCCTGCTGGGTAGCTGGGATTACAGGCACCCACTACCACACCTGGCTAATTTTTTTTTTTATTTTTAGTAGAAATGGGGTTTCACCATGTTGGCCAGGCTGGTCTCAAACTCCTGACCTCAGGTGATCCACCCACCTCGGCCTCCCAAAGTGCTGGGATTATAGACATGAGGCACGGCACCCAGCTCTAAGTTTCTTATAGTCTTATTAGTTTGCTTGCTTGATTGTTTTTAATAGATTAAATGTATTTTCTTACTGGTAGAGAATATCAGTTATAATTGTGACTTGACATGTTTTTCATGTTCCTCATTATTTCCTCTAAGCTCTTTATATTGGAGATTTTGGAGGATTTTGTTCATTATTTATATTGTCAGCTTTCCTCATGGTCAGGTAATTCTAAGCTGTCCACTAGTATTTATAAGTGAGAAATCAAGCCATTTTTGAAAGTACTGTGTTGGGTGGGGCTTATACTGGGTGTGGAAGAGGTTAGAGGGTGTTTTATAAATTATCAGACTACTGCTTATATTGACCAATAAATATATCAGTCTTTTTACTCTGGACTACCAAATGATTAATCAGGGTTCTTTAAAGGGACAGAACTATTAGGATATATATATATATATATATGTAAGAGGTTTAATACAGGAGAGACTGGGAATTATTGGCTAAAATGATGCTTTGGGATTATCTGCAGATTTCATTATTCATGTTATTTCTGTTCTCTTCATATATATATATATATATGAATGAAAAGAAGTTTATTTAAAAGAATTGACTCACAGGATCACAAGGTAAAGTCCCACAATAGGCTGTCTGCAAGTTCTGCAAGTTAGGGAGCAAGGAAGCCAGTGGTAGATCACTTCGAGTTCCAAAACCTGAGAAGTAGGGAAGCCAGCAGTGCAGTCTTCAGTCTATGCCAAAGGCTCAAGAGCCCCTGGCAAGCCATTGGTGTAAGTCCAAGAGTCCAAAAGCTGAAGAACTTGGAGTCTGATGTTCCAGGGCAGGAACCATCTAGCCCATTAGATGGATTAGAAGGTCGGAAGAATCGGCAATTCTGCTCTTCCATTGTCTCCTGCCTCTTTATTCTAGCTGTACTGGCAGCTTATTGGATGGTGCCCACCCAGGTTGAGGGTGAGTCTGCCTCTCCCAGTCCACTGACTCAAATGTTAGTCTCCTTTGACAACACCCTCACAGACACACTCAGGAACAATACTTTTCATTCTTTAATCCAATCAAGTTGACACTCAATATTAGCCATCACAGATAATATGTAGAAAGTTCTCCAGTGCTTTTAGTTTCTTCAGTAGTTGGCAAAGGAAGAACATCTGCTGATTGTTGACATTTTTGGAAGAAGGTGTGGGAAAATGTTGCCTCTTCATCTCTTTTTCTGGTAGAGTATGCCATTAGTGCTGATTATCTCCCAGTTTCCGTAGAGTGAATGGGCTTGCTTATCCTGAGAGGCCTTTAACTCCCATTTGCTACGTCAATAAACTTTATGTGAATTCATCATTCCCCCAATTCCTTGAAATCTTATATTGCTGTGGTCACTTTTATCATTCCCCTGGTCTTAATGGATGAATATATTTGTTTCTTTTAATTCTCTGCTATGCCTTTCCTGGGGTTAAGAAAGGGAGGGGAGATTGACTTTTGTGATTAATCTGTCTGGTTTAATTAGAATTCATATTATGTTTTAATAAATAATTACATGATTTTACATAGGTTTATTTAACTCAAGTATTATTATGAATGATCGCAATGTGTTTCCATAGGTTTGATAGGCAGAAGAAATACTTTTCTGAGGCTCTCAAAAATAAATATCTATAATACCAGTGATTAATCAGTTCTCCCTCCTTTGTAGCCATATTTTTAGGATCATTTTATAACTTACTGGCGTCTTTACCACAGGAAAAGACAAAGGTTCACATCTGTCCATTTTACTACATGCTAAGTTTTAGTAAGAGGTTTAATACAGGAGAGATTGGGAATTATTGGTAAAATGATGATTTGGGATTATCTGCAGATTTCATTACTCATGTTATTTCTGTTCTCCTATTACCATAGATAATTGACTAGAGCTGAAGTGGGAGTATAGACTGAAATACAGTTGCAGCTCATCTGGGTTTCATCAAAACTATATCCCTGTTGAGCCACAAGTGGACTTCGCAACAATTTATGTCTAGGAGTGCTACCCACAGTCATTGGGAATTTGCCTGAGGTCTGAGACAGTTGCTATGAAAACTGTCCCACTCCCTTTTCCTTAGTGGAAATGTAACCAACAGCCAGAACTTGTAATAACAAAGATGAAGAAATAATTATAGAGCAGCGGGCTATTAACAATAGTGAGACCTGTAGATCATTGTACATAGATCTATGTAGATTAGTTATTTTGATTGGAATTATGGAACAATTTATTTTCATCTATACTACAAAAGTTGAAAAGTAGACCCTCAAAGTTTTAAGGAATTTTATCTAATTTTATTCTAAATATGTGTTTGCAAGTTCCCTTGAGCTTTCTTTGTTAAGGACAATTCTGTTTGGGTTCTAAAATTATGAAGTCAAAAAAATTAAGGCCAAACTGTGGAATTATTTTTGAAATCAGAAGAGCAGAAAAGTTCAGGTGAAATGAACAGTCTGTATTTTATGTGGTGTTTTACCAAGTGTGATTAAAAATTTTGGCTGGGCTCGGGAGCTTATGCCTGTAATCCCAGGACTTTGGGAGGCCGAGGTGGGTGGATCACCTGAGGTCAGGAGTTTGAGACCAGCCTGATCAACATGGTGAAACCCTGTCGTTACTAAAAATACAAAATGAGCCGGGCATGGTGGTGCATGCCTGGAATCCCAGCTACTCAAAAGGCTGAGGCAGGAGAATCACTTAAACCAGGGAGGCGGAGGTTGCAGTGAGTTGAGATGGCACCATTGTATTCCAGACTGAGCAACAAGAGTGAAACTCCATCTCAAAAAAAATATATATATAAAAAAGAATATCAAACTGTTTTTAGAAAGCCATCTTACTGAATACTATGACAAAATTGGCGTAAGTTTTTCAACCTTTAAATATATTATCATTTTGTCAATGTGTGACATCTTGGTTGGAATTTTACAGTAAAAATATTTTTTTATAAAATAATGATGACATTTAAAAAGATTGTTCCTCTAATATCTTATAAGATTTGCTACTCACAATATGTAATTTCCCTTGGATATTGATTTAAAAGCTATAATAAAGAGTATGGAGGTACAAAGATGAGTAAAACAAAAGCATATATAATCATAAAAATATTTCAGAGTATCTAAAATCTAGTTGTCTATACCATTAGAAATAATCAATTGCAGTTTTATAATAAATTTAAAGAATATCCCAAATTTCTTTTTTAAGTAGTAAAGAAGCCCCTGAGCAACGCTACTCTGACTTGCTATATAGGCTTGCCACTCTGCTACAGATTCATCCAAGAAGGCAATGAGACCTGATGGAATGAGAAATTTGTATTACTGGATAATATGTAAAACAAACATCCTTCCATCTCTTACCATGAATCTCATGTAATTTGTAAACTAGTGGATGAGTATGTTGCTCAAGTTTATGATTACAAAGAGGGTACACATGTTGAAGTGGCCATTTTGATAGAACCACATCAAATGATTGATTTGTAAAAATGCCTAATTTTATGTAATCCCAGCTCCTCAGGAGGCTGAGGCAGGAGAATTGCCTGAACCCAGGAGGCGGAGGTTGCGGTGAGCCGAGATTGCGCCATTGCACTCTAGCCTGGGTAACCAGAGTGAACCTCCGTAAAAAAAAAAAAAAAAAGCCTAATTTTAATCTCATCCTCTAATTAGCTAACTCTATACAAACCTTCATATCTTAGCTAAGTAGCACCACCACAAAAAAAAACCCTTCATATTTTACAGTATTCGTCACACTTATAACTTGTTTCTTAAGACAGATCTTCTATAAATTATATTTTCTCTTAAATAGGGAATTTTAATTCTCTTTCTATGTACTATTTTATTCTCTTGTAGTTGCTCAATTAGTAACTTGTTTGATTAGATAAGCTTAAGTCTAAACATGGTATGTTTTGCTGAATTATTTTCATGATTTCTTGCTGCTTCTAACACAACATGAGTAGTCTATTATAAAAGTGGCTTTGACTTGTGCATGTATAGACATACCTTGAGTCATCAAATCCAGACATTGTAATGTGTTAGCAAAAGCTTTTACAATCATTACCCTCAATATACTGGTTTATTTGTTTTCAGAATCATAATGAAAATATAACTGAGAGTGCAACCAAGAAGAGATACAAAATGTAGTTGAAAAAAAATTATTGTTTAAACTTTGGCTTGAATATCAGAGGCATACTTAGAAATTTCTTAACTTATTAGTTGGTTTGTTTTACCAAAGAAAGCAAAATTAGACTTAGAATAGTTTTTATTGATTTTGCTGCATAATTTATTTAAGCATAAGGAAAAAGGAATTGAGAAAAGAAAGGCAAGATGATTTGTCTCCAATCACACAGTCAATAGAATGCCTAGTTATGGAAACCTAATTTTGAGACCTACAAAGATAGTTTCCTGACTGCAAACATGTGGATTTCATTTCAGATATTTTCCAAATTTAAAAATGTATTCTTTTGAAAAATTTTGCCCCAAGCAAAAGATAAATTGCAACATTCACATTTTGTGAATGATGGAAATCTTTACCTTTACAGCCTGGTTGACTTAATGCAAGGATATATAAAAAAAATAATGAACCTAATGTCACTCATTTAACAACAAAATGATACTGTCAGCATTTTGATTAATGTCTATTTTGAACCAAGAGACCATTGTCTTACAGAAATATTCTAGACCAATTGCTAGTCTGGACTACAAAGTTGGACAGAGGTGCCTTCTAAATCAAATCCTTTTATATCCCACAGGCTGAGATCATGCACATCTGAGATGTGTTAGTTGAAATTCCACACAGTCTTCAATTGCCAAGTGTGAATGGAATGAACGTAATACTAAAAGTAAGGAAACTAAGAAAAATTAGCATTAAAAACTTTTTACTATATAAAGGTTCTATAGAGAGCAGCAGGAGAGAAGGGCCCGCAGCGGTCTCCACTCACAGATTTAAACTTGAAGCTGACCTATTGTTACCTTCAGGGAGAGATTGGGAAGGTTAGGAAAAGGATTTCAAGAATAAGCAACAAATTACAATTCATTCAGAAGTATTTTCTGAACAGTGTTCTGTTGGGGCGGGACACATATGTAGGAGATGTGATTTCTTCACTGGCAGCTTGATTGAAGTATCTGACAGTTTGAAGATGTAGTCTCACAATTTTAACTGTTCAACCTTTATTTTCTGAATATTTACAGTATTACAGGTATGATTATAAATTATTGGAGCAAAAGAGGAGTAAAAATAAATGCCCGACAATCAAAAAAATTGCCATCATGAAAGCAATATAGTAAAATTTTCAGTGAAATTAAGTTAAGTGCTAATATGGCAGAGTGCCCACTTCTCTATCTTCGCTTGGCCTTCCTGTAAGTCTCATGAGAAGAATATAGGAACTTAATTTATTTTATTATCGTGCTAAATATGGACAAATAACCTAATATAAAACTGGCCAAATCATATAAATAAGGGATTATTGCAAACCAGGCTAAAATATGCAGCAAACGTGAAAAATTCCAAAGCTTACTAGTAGGAAACTGCCAACTGCAGTAGTAATGAGATATTGTTTTCCTTCCTTCAGGTCAGTGAAAATTAAAAGTGGGGAAGCCAGTCAGTGTTTCCTAGGGTGTCAGGAAGTGGGCAGACTTATGGCTTGTAAAAATCCAAAATTGCCATTAATTCCCGAAAAGGAACATCTAAAATAAACATGTATAATCTTAATAAAATAATAACTAACTAGCAAGATAAATAAACAAGGAGATAAGTAAAAACCCTCCAAGAACATTCAAAATGTTCATCATTAGGGAAAAGTTAAGTATTGCGGTTTTGATCCAAATTAATGAATATTTTAACTTGATTAAAAATATTGGTCATATCCGTACATTTGACTGGAGGCTTTCTTTTGACATGTTTTTTGAAAAGGCCATTTTTACTAAACAGTGTTTTTATTATGACACTGTAATACTTTTTTTTTTAAACAAATAACATAAAACTCATTGTGTATGATATACAGTTATACATATTTTCACCTATGTGAGGAAGGTTATGGAAAAGCCTGTTGTTAAGTTGGAAACCTGCAGCAGAAAAAATGAAGTTACTATATGAATTGTTGTTAATTTTTCCACTTATACAGATTCTTGTATATTGACTAATTTAGGTATACCCATGATGATTTTGCTTGAAAATATTAATTATAACAAAAACATAAAGAAATGCTGTAAAATAATGAGAGGAATGGACTTGAAATATTTTTGTATTACTAATGTTTCTAATTTATGGAACTGTGAATTCTTCCCATCTACTCCATAGATAATTAAAAATTTAATGTTATTTAAAAAATTAATGTTTTTACCAAAATATATAATTGTTATATTTTTGCATCTGTAAGTTAATTTGGTACCTTTCCTCATGCGTATTAGTAGGTAGGTTGGAGTAGATAATATTGTCTTGCTTTAAAAATGACTTGCCCTAGTCTACAATATAAAAAAAAAATTATTGGTTAATGTTTGGAAAGAAACTCTGACATAGTTACATCAATCAAAAGGCAAATATGAGAAAGCAATTCCAATTCCACTGAGAAGCTATTCTTTCAAAAAAGCGAAGTGTTGCTAACTGGCTCTGAATAGATAATTATGTCAGTCCATTGCATAGGGTATGGATAAAACAGCTAGGCTGAGGCGTCACAGCAATGGTTGGTCCAGATTTTTGAATTTTGATTATGTTCAAGTTAGAAACATTTTTTTAAATGTGCTTTAAGTATGGACATAGAAATAATTATTTTTCTTCCTCATCCATCACCCGGCAAAGACTAAGATTTTATAGCTAGTGCTTTGTCCAGTGAATTTGCAAACAGAAATTCTACAATTTTGCTAGAACTGTTTTTAAATTTCTACTTCTATATAATTTAGTGCAATAAACATGTAAATGAATTTCTTATACATACATTAATATATTTACCATTTAGGCCTCATCTACATGGTCAACATGAAAAACGTTCAGAGAACAGGGCAATTGTTTTTCACAACTTAAATCACCTGTAAAATATATGCCAAAATATCAATTTAAAATGTGTCCCAAGGCCTTTGAAATTTAAAATAGAATATAATTCTAATAGAAATGCAAGTCAGCATCACTTCATTACATTCTTTCTTTACACATTCTTGAAACTATCAAGTTTTGTGGACCGTAAAGTCACTAATGTTACCTTCTGTTACGGTAAAGTTTGTTGAGGCGAGAGTCGGAATAGGCTTTGGCCAACTCTAATTTGTGCATTTTCTATCTCCTACAGATTTTTACACAGTGTTGTCTTTAACTAACTAACCTATTGAGCATTGCTTCTATTTTCAGAATAAAAGCTCTTCTCTTACATGTTTTGAGCTTTATCTACTCAGGTGATTAAACTAGACCCAGAGTTCACACAAAGAAATGGTGGTAATTTTTTTTTTTAGTCAAGCATTCAATATCACTCAATTCTGAATAAATTATTTTTAATACATACATGAAATTAGTTATAATGCTTATCAGAAATTTTTTAACTAAATCTTAATTAAACCATGTATCACACTAAGTAAATATTCTACCTTCTCATTTTCCTTACAAATAAGCACTGACAATTAGGCAGCATTTAATATTTATCATGCTTATCTTCACAGCTGCAGTGGCATTGAAGGTGACTAAGAATGGCAAGAAGAGTTTTCTTTTGTAAAGAATTGAAAACAGGGAAATAATGATTTATTCTTCCTTGCTTGTTGAGTGGCTAGAGGTAGATAAGCGGATTTGTAGTGAGGTCATCAGTCACAATTGGTTGGTAATTTGAAAATGGATTAGCTTAGAAGTAGCAATTTCTGCTCCATGGGTTTCAGTGAAAAAGTCTGCCTAATTCTGTAAGAGACCTCATAAACTGGCAGAGATCAATGCCTACCTAATGTGCCATTATGCACTGGGCACACTTCAATGATTACAGCACAGCTGTGGCTGGGTTTTGCTTGATATTTCTTTAGCACTTGCACCACACGTGCTCCACATGACTGTTTTGCCCAAAGGAATACACTCTTTAGGGAATTAAAATGGAGGAGACACTTTGCTTTCTAAGCAGTTTTTCACTTTTGAACTGAGGAATGGCCAGTGTCAGATGTCAATAATGTTAGCCTAGTAATAAATAAAGACTAAACAACTTATCGGGAAGAAATCATCTTCTGTAATATTTCTGGATGGCCCTTTCTTATTTTGAAAAATGTATGGGGTAAAACCACCTGCCCTTATAACTTGAAAGAACATGGTAACACAAATTTCCAAATGGAAATGTTCAATGTTTTACGAAATGGAGTTTCTTTTTTTCTTAATGGAAGAGATAGCATTACATAATTTTTAAAACTTTTTTTCTGATATGTCATGCAAATTAGATGGCAATGGAGCAGGAAAAGGAATTTAGTAAAATGAATTTAAAATAAAAATTGAATGTAAGACTCAAGACTGAGAATCCTTAGTGTTATTCTCCCAAGATTTCTGTACTGGCTATGTGCAAATATTATATTTTAGAGTAATGAGTAAAATATATTAAGGACAGATAAATAATTTGAAATGCAAATTTATATAATGCAAATAATAAATTCTGTTTTATGGTTTATGCAAAGAAATATATTACCTAAAAACTTATTTATCTAAAATTATATTATCTATAATTTTTATTTTATAGTTTATTAAATATAAGTAATGAGATGCTACAAACAACATTTAGTATTATCTAAAATTTTTGTCTTACAGTTTATTAAATATAAGTAACGAGATGCTGCAAACAACATTCCAAGGTAATACAACACAGAGAAAGGAATTTTTTGAGAATAATTTATGACTGATTCCTTGGTACCAGTGGGAACAAAATGCAGTATATATTCTAAACACTTTAAAGTCCAGTTTTTGTATAACATCAACATGGGTTTACAGTTAATCAGCAATCTTATCAGCAGTGTTAGCTCTCATTCAGGTACCTGACCTTTACAAAGTAAAAGAAATACAATACAATGATTAGACAAATAATATTTTAAGATCTTAGGGCCAAACAAAAGGGCTTTCTGCTCTAAATTATTTCTCAGTCTGCTCATGTAAAATCTTTTCAAGAGGGTACAGTCATCTAATCCACAGTTAAATGTTCATCTCTGAATGAAGTATTCCAGTAGAGCTAACATATTTACTTGAAGTTGAGTACATAAAACAACAGTAGCAATAGTCCAATTTAATACGTCCATAAAATTATGTTCAGATTTCAAATGAATAGTTAATTTTTAAAAAGGGCTTAATTCAGAAGTAACTGCTGTTCTGGTGAGAGGATTTACCATGCTGTGGGAGTTGGGGGGATTGCTGTAGAGGTGACAATTTGAAGGCTATCATATGAAAGGAAGGTGAGGCTTCAACTATGTGAATCCACTAGTTAGTACTCAGAATGTTATGGCTCCTCAGGCACAGGTAAGATAAATAGGAAAACAGAAACAAAAACGTTTAAATGTATAAAATAATCTAAAAATGGAAAGAGTATAACATGGAAAGCAATACAAAAGATAATCCTTTTTTAAGGGTATTTGAGATCAAAGAAGAGATCCTTGGATTCTGTATGAGCCAGGGACACAGTTTTTTGTTTGTTTGGTTGGTTGGTTTGATTATAAAAACAGCTTTATTGATATATAATTTACATACCATAAAATTCACCCATTTTAAGTATACAATGCCATGTACATTTACAAGGTGGTATAATTATCATCATAATCTAATAATGGAATGTTTTCATCTTCCCTAAAAGAAAACATTAGCTATTACACCCTATTCTCTCCCACTTCTAACCCTAAGGAACACTAATCAAAATCTTGCCTGTATTGATTTGCCTATCTTTGCCATTTTATATCAATGAAATTTTATAATTTATGTTCTTTTGTGACTTTTCACTTAGCATGACTTCAATGTTCATTCAATTTTAGCATGTATCATTACGTCATTCTTCATTATTGCCAAATAATATCCCATTGAATGGATATACCACAGTTTTTATTATTATTTATCAATCAATGGCCATTTCTTCTACTTTTTGGTTATTGTGAATACTACTGTGAATATTCGTGTATAAGTTTTAACTCAGGCATGTTTTCATATGTCTTTAATACATATCTATAAGTGGAATTGCTGGATCACATGGTAACACTAGGTATAACATTTTTTGGAAAGCCAGACTGTTTTCCACAGCAGCTGCATCATTTTACATTCTCACCAGTAACCTATGAGGGTTCCAAGTTCTCAATATCCTTGCTAACATTTGTCATTGTATTTTTATTATTGCCATCCTAGTAGTTGTGAAGTAATATCTCATTGTGGTATTAATTTACATTTATTTTGTGTTTTTGCGTCTATCTTTATTATTTTACAATTTTTTATTGATAATTGTACATATTTATGGGGTATAGTGTGGTATTTTAATACATGTATACAATGTACAATGATTAAATGAAGATAATTGGGATATTTATCACCTCAGTTATTTCTTTATGTTGAAAACAGTCAAAATCCTCTTTTCTAGCTATTTTGAAATATACAGTAAGTTATTCTTAACTATAGCCACTGTGCTGTGCTATAGAACACAAGAACTTATTGCTCCTACGTAACTGTAGTTTTGTACACATTAATGAACCACTCCCTATCCTGTTATCCCACCTACCCTTCCCAGTTTGGCAATCACTATTCTACTCTTTACTTCCATGAGATCAACTGTTTTCGCTCCCACATACGAGTGAAAAACATAGTATTTGTCATTCTGTGCCTGGCTTACCTCACTTAACATACTGTCCTTCAGGCTCATTCATATTGCTACAAATGATAAGATTATATTCTTTTTTTTTCAGCTGAATAGTGCTTCACTGGGTGTATATATACTACATTTGCTTTATCCATTCATTTATTGAAGGATACATAGGTTTTTCCATTTCTTGGCTATTGCAAATAGTACTCCAATAAACATAGGAGGAGCATGTAAGCTCTTTAGCATGCTGATTTCCTTTCTTTTGTATATATACCCAGTAGTGGGATTGCTGGATCATACAGTTTTTGTTTTTTTTTTTTTTTTTTTTGTGGAACCTCATACTCTTTTCTAAAATGTCTGTATGAATTCATATTCTCACCAAGCAGTATATAAGACAAGTTCGAAGAACACACAGACATGGTTGGTTTTTCTGTTTGTTTTTTGAGATGGGGTCTTGTTCTGTTGCCCAGACTGTAGTGGCACAGTCTTGGCTCACTGCAACCACCACCTCACAGGTTCAAGCAGTTCTCCTGCTTCAACCTCTCGAGTACCTGGGACTATGCCTGCACCTCCAAGTCTGGCTAATTTCTGTATTTTTAGTAGAGCTGGGGTTTCACCATGTTAGCCAGGCCGGTCTTAAACTCCTGACCTTAAGTGATCCACCCGCCTTGGCCTCCCAAATGTTCTTTGAACTTCTGTGACCTCATTGTTTCAATTCATAAAATGCACTGGTTAGATTAAATATCATATGTCCTGACTATTTTTAAATGACAGAAATTATTTTATGGGTGCCACTTATTTCTGTAATTGGGTAGCATTATTTTTATTCATTTAAAAATTTAATATTTTTTAGAAAAATTTACTTTAAATTTGTTTAAACATTAGATGGGCATGGTGGGCCACCCCTGTAGCCCAGCTACTAGGGAAGCTGAGATAGGAAGATTTTCTGAGCCTACGAGTTCAAATCCAGCCTTGGCAATATAGTGAGATACTGCCTCAAAAAATATAAAATAAGAAAATGAAAGAATACATATGTAAACATTTAAGATCTTACATTTTTAAACAATAAAGATAGAAGTATATATTTCCTGAAGCATGGGAAAATTGGACTTAACATTTTATTTACATTTGGCACAGTGATGATTCTCAGAGAGATACTAGAATATAAAAGGAAAATGTCTCTTTCGTTACCATTTATCTAAACCCAGCTTTGAAACCTGCTATTATTATTTTTGTATATTGTTATGAGTTTAGTAAAAATAACTAGTCAAATTAAATAGTTATTCTCACTGTCCTGTAAGAACTTTCTAATGAAAACCACAAAAGTACATGCTGAGTTTTCAGATAATATGGCAAATCAGTTGTAAACAAACAACATTTGAGTGCTTGGCATAGCTGGTCTACACAATGGTACACTGAGCAGAATACTGGGGGTACTAATTTTATTTCATATTCATTTTCTTCCAAGTAATACACATAATCATAAATCTGAGAAAGTAGTGTTATCTACATTTCAAGGTAAAGGAATATATAGATAGGGAAAAAATTAAAGAAATTGAACAAAGTGGTACAGAAATTTAGTAAAGTGAAAATTTTCATTTGAGAAGTAAGATCATCTGTTAGATTGGTGACTGGAGTTTACAGTTTACAGTTTTTCTTATTTTGTTCTTTTGTTTTTAGAGATGGGGTCTCATTCTGATACTTGGGCTACAGTGTAGTGGCACAATCATGGCTCATTGCAGCCTGATATCCCCAACTCAGGTAATCTTCCCACCTCAGCCTCCGGAGGTAGCTGAGGTGGGAAGATTACCTGGTTAGCATCATACCCACTATTATTTGTGTTTTTCTAGAGGCTAGGTTTCACTGTGCTGCTCAGGCTGATCTCCCGGGCTCAAGCGACCTACCCCCTTAGGTTTCCCAAAATGGTGGGATTAGAGGCATGAGCCACTGTGCCCTGCCAACGATTTCTTTATATTCAACTTCTCTTATAAGAACCAAAGGTAAAAGAAACAAAACATTAAATGAAACTCTGTGAAAATTTAAAAATAATAAAATTTAAAAGTAATAAAGATTTTTATGCTTGAATTTATATTAGTCACTTACAATTGTTGGCATCATCAGCCTTTACATTTTAATATTCAGTTGAAAAAGAAATATAAACATTTTCTATTAAATAATTAAAAACATTAATTCCTATTGCCATAACTATGTGTTTTAAATATTAAATTTTGCATGGATGCTTGTGTGTGTATGTGCACATTTTTTTTCTTATATACTTTTGTTGTGCCTGTATTGCTTTCATTTCCTGGAAAAACCTTTGGTAGAGCATAAAGTCAAAAATTCTTTACAATTGCCTTTTGTTTAATGTCTTCCCACAGGTTTTCAGGCACCTGCTCTATTGTCTTCTGTATTTAAACAATAAGGGAAGTAGACTTATTACAGAGGGAAGTTTGATTTTCTTTTCTGAAACCACCTGGGAATTGTAGATAAACAATATAAGTAAAATGGGAGAAAAATGTTTGAGACCACCACCACCATCACAACACAAATAAGAAAATTAAATAAAGCTTTGGTTACATTGTCAAAAAAATAAAAGAGGGCAAGAGAAGTGGAGAATATGCACTGCCAAACACACATTGAGACCTGCTGTTTTCCCTGTTGGTGCCCACATGGCTTCGATTTTCATCTAATTGCAAAAAAACACAAACATTGGCACAGGCTTTACTAGATGTTTGGTGACCCTACTGTGTTAATCAGAATTTGAATTTGTGTGCCTAAAGCAACCTCTGTATGATGTGTATGTTTGGCATTTATTCCCAGAAACTTGATAGGTCCATCAATCAAAAAAAGGAACATAATCTAGAAAATTGGGGAAAAGGTTTGACAGTGAGTTAAAATATAAGGACATTCTCCTCCTTCATGACCCTTGTTATTAATACCTTTGAAAAGAAAAATCATTCAGTTCATAAGACACACATTCTAACTGGAATTCAGTATGCTATTTAAATTGTTCACTGTTCTTTACAGAAACGGACATTGAAGCTGCAGGTCAAATTGTCTTTTCATTTTGATGAATTTTAGGAGATAAAGCATTTTACTATTCTACATTTGGCCATTTCCCTAGGTTTGTCTGATCTCACCCCAAAATTTTGGGAGGAGATTCTGATGAACTTAGATGGTAATACTGTCAACTAGGACAGATTTAGGGCTGTGTTTCCTATTTTGTCTGTGTTTCAGTATTTCAAAATCAGCTTTTAAGATTGTTTCTGAATCATAGCTATTGAAGAAAAGAATATGATACTTAGAAAATGGTAATAGAATCTTCTGACAGTCAGGAGAACCAGATTGAACATTCCATTAGTAGGTAACCCCTTTACTGTTTTTACCAACTAGTGTCTGCGAGAAGTTTGAAGCAAAGACCGGTTCAGAGACAGATACATGTAGCATTTCCTTTAAAAGAGAATGTAAATGCTCAAATTTCCTTTAAATATGAAATTAAATATAAATTAGTCATCTGATTTCCTTGTATCATACAACTATCTAATTTTAAAAAAAATTAAAATGGTCATTTTCAGACATGTTAATAACTATAATAACTTCATTTATATCTTTTGTCTGCAACTTAGCATTTATTGCCTTCCCAATCTATAATGGTCAGCAACTCTGGAAGCAACATATTCAAAGCATATAAATATTAAATAATTGATTGTCCAGTATCTAGGAAAAAATTTAAGGAATAAATTTAATTTTTTTAATCCTTAAAAAATGCAAGGTATGTTTACACAATAAAATACAGTGGTGTTTTTTAAATTATGAAAAACTTTGTAACTGGAATTTAAAAAATTATGTTTCCATATGCAAAATTAAACTAAGACCAGTGAATCAGTGGCATATACAGCATTTTCTTTTAAACTAGTAAATTCCGAGTTTCTTATTATTATGTTTAACAACACTTTTACTGTTTGAATTATGTAGGAAAAAACCCTGCATATATATGTAATAAGCAGCTAGTTTGATACTTTTTTCTATCATGTCATTTTTGTTAATGTCCTCTTTTTTCCCCCACAACATCCAATCAGTTTTCAACTTCTATACATTCTTCTGTAAATCTATTTCCATAATTCCATTTTCATTGATAACACCTTTCTTTGGTTATCTTAATGTTTTACTTGGTAAATTAGAGCACTGAAAAATAATTAAATATATTTCGAGTGTTTTTATTGGATTTAAAGCCTGGGAAGATGATGTGTAACATTAATGGTAATAGTTCAACAGAAGCATTGAGGAGAAAAATGAGTTTAGGTTTAATCAGATTTGACTTGATACATTACTTTAGAAGTTCCAACCCATAGTTTAACACATGCATGTTTTGTAT